TCCCACGTGCCCCCCCCCCCCTCCCCTCCCCCTCATTGTCAATGCACGCGAAATGAACACGGCTACGTCAGTACTGCGTCAATCGTCACGTGCAACACGACGTAATTGACTTATTATCGCGACGCGCCAATGAAAATTATTACGCCCCACGATACTTGAAGATACGCACGCACTCGAACTCGCACTGCGAACTGCGAGCTGCGAGTGCGCTTTGGACAGGGTCGTCTCTTTTGCAAACACGCTGATTACCATACACGATTATCAACAGCCGGCGATCCGGCTAAAATTCTGCTGTATTCCACTTACAATTAATCGCGCGTCTCCATTTATGGCCACGGATTGAATCAGTTGGAATTTTCAGCGTGCATGATTTCGGTAGAAGGCGTCTTCTCCACGCCAACATTACGACGTTTTTATTATCATAGGTAAACATAGAAATAACATTGACATATAAAAGTTATCAAAGTTATACTTTATAATATAAATTGTAAATATATCGAAAAATAATGTATTATCGATAATTTACTTCGCCAAATGTATCTCATAATTATTACATATACAATAGTACGTTCACAGTAATAGACATATTTGGCGAATATAAAGTAAATTTACGTTTATTTTCTCGATGGTTGTACCTCGTATATTGACGTGAGCTGTTTATAAATGTCTCAAGAGTTTTAATTGCCTTCACATTGCGAAAAATATTGACGATTAGATTAGATGCAATTTCGCATGTCGTTCTCGAATACATGTTATCATTGTGAGATTCAACAAGTTTTTCGTAAATATTTACGATAAATACTGATATTCTTTGACGCAGAATGCCTAATTATAATAGATTAACCAGTGTTATCAAAAAAAAAAGCAACGTATATAAAGTATATTGCATACTACGTACAAAGGTAAAAGCGTCTCGAATAATCACTGTTAAAAATAATAAAAGAATTTATAAAATAATAAAAGAACGTTTGCAAGAAACTAATAATTAATACATTAAATTAGATTAATGATTTAGAAGTTGTAAGCCATAATAAATGTGTGACAGAAAGAATTGATTTGATTAATAATTTTACGAGTATAGCATGACTCCAGACGAATCAAATGTGATACATGTCTTGTAATAATTTTTATACATCTTGTACAGCCATAAAAATACGAAAGCCTTCAATTCAATCACTTTTCTATAAGCATTCGGAAAAATTTGTAGATTTCATTTCATTTCGACAGCATTTGGGCGATAATTTTGCAAAGTGGCTTTTGTAGCTGTTGTAAGCATTATTTACGGTCAGTTCACGCCTTTTAGCGGAAGCCGGCCCATACCGCTTTTGTGACTAGCAATTGAAGCGTTCAGTTGATACAGCATTGTGTTATTTTGCGAACTCGTAGATATTATTAGAAAATGAACACTATTTTATATATCCTATTGAGAATAAAAATAGTTGTTTTAATAATACGTTAAATAAAATGATATATCCTCGCACACATATTAGACGTATCTAAAAAAATATCTCAACTTTTCGAACGCTTTCAAGCATCTTTTACATTCTTGTTTTGTATGTTTACAAAAATATCAAATAATAGTCAAATTGTGTTGTAATTAATCCTTTATCTTTTTCGCAATTGCTTGCCTTTTAAACAAATTCTCAATTGTCCATATTATTGGAAGGTTTTAATTTTTTTTTTTTAATCGGAAGCTACATATTAATGATTACTTGAAATTGTTTGCTCAATAAAGAGTACTGAATTTATTTTTCCATAACATGCAAAATAACAACGTTTCTTTTTTTCGTGATGACATATCGACTGCGACTGTTGGTCGACGCATCGCGACGACGATAGATGAGAGACGAGAACGAAAAAGCCCGCGATATAATGGGAAATTTGAGCAGACGCGCGGCTGGAGAATGCAAAAGGCAGACGGTGTTTACACGCTGTGCGTGGTCGCCGATCGGCGGAAATCGCCGGAAATTGGCGTCGATCAGCGACACGTCGATCTATTTCCGCGTGAACGAGTGAGCCGTGCTTGCCGATAAGAGCGATTCCGCGTTGCGTCACATCGATTCCGATCGCGTCACACATCATCTGACTGTTGATCGTGAGGCACCGATCACTCGCGGTCACTTACCCGTTCGTCGTACATCGCATGCACGTACATACGTATGTACGCACGCATGCCACGCGTTAGTCAGCATATGTATGTGTGTACACGCGCGCGCGCAGCGTGAAAGAGATCAAGTGTGCGAATGGTAGGTAGCACAGTGTACGCAGACATGACGAGCGAGCTCCTGATGAAACAGAGACAGAAAGATCAGATTACACGATTTCGCGCTGTCATCATCGTGACTAGAGGCATGGTCATTTAAAAAGAAAGGTATTGATCCTTTTTTTTTATACATAACGTCAGCGCGACATCATGAAGAATTCTGCTAGACTGCTAGACACTAGCGATATTGTGATAAATACAAGTCGTATCATCGTCAAAGAATTAATGTGATATGAGGCTTGTCAAATCGACGCCTTTTTCTCTCTTTCTTTCTTTCTTTCCGTTATAATTTTCTATTATTTTTCCGATCTTTTTAAAAAATTGCCGTTAGACAATTATATATTTCGACAATTTAAAATAATCTATGGATTTGGAATGATTGAGATGGCGATTGGGAAACAAAGACGCGCATAAGCAAAAAGATCTTAAATCAAAAATATTATAAGCAAGATGTTAGATATCACTGATTCTACGACATGTTATCAGTTTAATCGCCGTTAATGATTCGGACCCCAAACAGGTTTGATGCTCGACGAACTAAAATAGTCGCGTTTTTTTTTACGAGTTACAAAAACGTATTTGTGTGCGCCACAAACGTGACGCACATAGCATTCGTGATAAGATCACATCGTTAGATCGGTTACATCACACGTACAAGAATCTCGTATCGATATATGTAGTCGCCTGCAACCGATTATTTTTATATCGCATAAGTAAAATATACATTGTATCCCGACGACTATGTAATTTTAATCTTTTTATTGCCTCTAGAAAGACACATTGTTCGCCTCTTTGTCGCGACTCATTACTCGCAAATTAGCCGACCCTGAATGCCCGTTTTTATTGCCTTGAGCTGCAAATAGAGAAAACTGGAACGTGATAATGTATATGGCAAAATAAACAGCTCCTAATCTTTTGACACACACACACACACACACACACACACACACACACACACACACACACACACACACACACACACACACACACACACACACACACACACACACACACACACACACACACACACACACACACACACACACACACACACACACACACACACACACACACACACACACACACACACACACACACACACACACACACACACACACACACACACACACACACACACACACACACACACACACACACACACACACACACACACACACACACACACACACACACACACACACACACACACACACACACACACACACACACACACACACACACACACACACACACACACACACACACACACACACACACACACACACACACACACACACACACACACACACACACACACACACACACACACACACACACACACACACACACACACACACACACACACACACACACACACACACACACACACACACACACACACACACACACACACACACACACACACACACATATACATATATACATCTATATATACACACACACACACACACACACACACACACACACACACACACACACACACACACACACACACACACACACACACATACATACATACATACATACATACATACATACATATATATATATACACGCAAAAAAGTACTGGAAATATTATACGTACAAATTTTGTCGAATTAAAAAAAAATCGTACTTTTTCTGATCGTTAGCGAAAACTTAATCGCGTATCTATTTCTAGACCTCTTTTAATTTCAATATTAAAAATTTTGATGATTAAACATGTGTCCAAAAGTTAATTGTTTCAAAAAATGATTATTTGAAAAGAAATAACTTCAAATTTTCATTTAAAATGTTTTCCAGGATGATAGTCCTCCGCTGAAGCCGACCGCTTTATATGCAAAACTGTATAACAATAGTCGTATAACAATCATTTTTGCATTTCATACTGTGCATTATAATTATCGACATAATTATGTAAATGCTTCCGTTTGCGTTTCGTATCCAAGACAAGATTTTACATTTGCGTAAATCTCTTGCTTATCCTCCTTCCTATTCTTTCGCGAATGTCATTCATATCTGGACGGCCTTATCCTTTTCTTTTTTTTTGCCAATGTGACACGCAACAGGAATGTTCCATCTGACAATTTCTTCACGATATTCTATGAATCAAGGAGAACTACGATTCCTGTGTTTTTTATTACCGCTAATTAAAATCATTTATAAATATGTATCATGCTATTTTTGCGTAAATATATGTATGTATATTACATTTTATGTAATATACATATTATCTAATTTATTATTATCGCTTTATTATTATTGTAAAATTGTTTGTCAGAATACATCTACTTTATGCGATTCTTGCACTCGTTAAGACATTACAATTGACGACTTAAAAAAAAAAAAAAACAAGCTATCTCTATCTATCTAGCCAGACTTTAACTTGCGTGTTCTTCGTTTTCGTTGCGTGTCACGCGCAGCAAATGCAGCACACGCGTACTTTTCAAATTTATTTACCGAGCATTCATGCGATTTAACTCATTTCAATTGTGCGGACATATCAGATATTACATTTCTACTTAGGAATGAAACTCGTCGTAATAGCATGTAATAATAAGAAATACAGACACAACAACCTCCTACCCTGATGTAATCGAACATGTTGTCGCATCAAATGCGCTCCATAATGTGCCAAGTATTGGAATTTTATCGGAATTGATATATATCGCAGGATCAAAGAATGGTTTTTGTAAACGTAATCGAATTAAAATTCTTCAACGTTTTGATCCTGCTGCAGCGACTGTATTACAACAGATTATGCGTGCATTTCTTCGGAAAGTAGGAAACACTCAGATGTGATCTTAATTTTCGTTCAATGTAAATGCTAAACAGGAAATAATGTCGTCACCTATACGTAAGTGGCCGCAACTACAGATAAGAAATAAAGATACCATCGACGTACATATGACGTCAGAGCGTTAAAATTGATTGGAAATAAAATGTTGAGTAAAAAATAAAATAACGAAATTTGCATTAAATACAAAGAGAAAAAGGAGATATAAAATAAGCGACATAAGCGTGTTAGCCTTTATCAAAGATAGGAATGTGCGAATTAAAAATAACTTTTCCGGAATGCAGATAGCCATCGCGCGTTAAAGTAGCTCCGACTGGTTCTCCTCCAGCAAGGTACAAGTAACAAGCGCTTACATTTTCTCGTGATGTAGACAGAAAGCGGTGCTAAGCAAGGCGCCTAGCACGAGAAGTAGTATGACCGGTACGAAAATTGTGGTGGCGATTTCTTTGAAGTAGCTCCTCGTGGGTACGCTTGCTTTCGTCGAACGGGCCCAACGCCACTCCGTGTGCTCGGAGATGCCCGACGAAGGCAGTCCTACGACGCTGGGACCCCGCCGAGCGCTCTCGTGCTGCAGACTCTGTTGGTCCTCCTCTAGCTAGAGGAAATATAGTAATAAATTGCTATCGTCTCTCAAATCTATCACTAACGAAGTGAATATCATAAAATGTTACAAGCGGCGCGCGATTTTCGGGTGATTGTTGATATCTTGTGCGAGACAATGCGCGAATCGAATATCGTGGAAATTAATCGATTAAGATGAGTTTATGCATCGTGCAATTAACATCTGCGTAAATTAAGGATGTTTGTACGATGATTGAAAAAATACTCGAGAAATACACGATGACGATAGATGGTGGAGTAAAACGTGCATTGTCATCGTCAAGCATATGCTTGGAAATATGCCAAGTTCGTATGATGAAAAGATAGATATACGTATATTAAATGCTCGTATGCACTGACATATACGATAACATGTTGTATCATGAGTGTACAATTTTTCGGAAGGCAAATAATACAACTGAGCGTTATACATTAGATAACAGGTAGAGTTGATTCTTTAGGTCTTCACTGATAAAGAGATATTCTCTGATTTATTATAATATGACATATTATAATAAATGAAAGAAGTATCGCATATAAGACAACGTAATTTAGTCAATCAACTACTTACTAATCTGAAGGAACACCAATCCAATCGGAATTCAGCTTCTCGGAAGAGAATCTCCACGCTGGTTCTCTTGAAGTCTCTGGGGCAGGACGGCATTTTCCATAGCGGCTTGACTTCCTCCTGCAATTCATTCAATTCTTGCGAGAACGGCATCGTGCTGCCCAATCTCACGACGACTCTGAAACAAAAAGAAACTACATTTCGTTCTGTCCTTTTCATTGTCAGAACGACAACGAAGGACTATATGAATTACATAATTACGACGAGATATAAAATATCGTACATCGACGTGCACATCGAGCCGAATCAAAATTCACCGGCATCAGAGTTATCGTTGTATCGTTATATTGTATTACGAACAAACTTTGACTCTCAAACAATCAGGCGAATCATATCGCGATATTCACTCTACACAGTATGTTTATTTGCGTCATTCCCGTCAAGGATTCTTTTAAGTAGCACGCGTGGGACTTTTGCCCGTAGCATGCATTAACAATTAAATACAGCGCGAGGACGCGAACAATTGCTCCTCGTAAATTATTAACGCTACCGATATAGATTAATATTATTATTGCATTTGGAAAATTATTATTAATCGCCGCTTTCTTATCAGTTTTCAGAAATATTTTATTTCAAACATGATCTATTTCAATATATGTTTAGATTGTCCAAAGAAAGTCGTGATTCTTCTGATTGTGGCTAATCATGTTAATGATTTTATTCATTCAATCTTTCATCTTTTTTATTTATTATTGGTTAGCCGAATATATTCTACTGATTGTGACAGAGAGAGAATTACTTATATATAATTATATTATTTCATAATACTGACAATGAGCTAACAGCTAACTAATTCTTGCGTGCGAATAACAGTTTAAAATCTCTCTTCTATATCTCTTGCAAATAATAGTCAGGATTAAATAACAGTCCTCGAGGCTAATTATTACGAATAATTAACTGATTTTACACAAATATTAATGCAACATTGACAACATAGGGTTACCATAATCGGCCAACATATGTATAAGAAATGCAAGATTGATTACTATTTATATATAACTTTTGTTTCTACCTGAAAAATTATTTCTTTTTCGTAATTACATTATCGAGAATATGACACGGTCAAAAATAAAAAATTAAATTTTTGTCTATTTTTAAATTTTATCTTTAAATTATATATACTTTAAATCATATATGTATAACGCGTGACTCCGAATAATATATGTTTGTATTTACTTTATATACAAGACGCGTAATATACATTCGTACGAAAATCTACATTGATAAACAGACGGCGAAACGCAACGTCCAATCAAATTCCGACGATCTTGCAATCGCTACTCCCGGTTTTCATGCTGATGTACTGATACGGTGCACTGATACGGTGCACTGTGTGTGATATGTATCGAGTGCACTAGGTGACTCGTTAGGCGCGGCCTTATCACTTGTGGAAACAAGTCCCCGCCAGTCAGTCAGCTAAACTAAATGTTCCGAGCGTGACGAGAATGTCGCATTTACGTTGTTGGGAATAATTGTCGCTGGCACTGTCGGTGGTGTCATCGTACTTGGTGCGACGCAATAAGTCTGAAAGTGACAACCGACGCGTGCAGTATGTGCGATCGATCAGATCAGCGTAATCGATTTATCTTGGTCGCGAGGGAGATTAATCGTGCCGCTCGTCTCTCACTATCGTAGACGCAATTTCGAACCTTCTCTCTGTTACGCGGTTACGATAACTCATTATCAGTGTCGGATAACATTTTCCGCGAGAGACCTCGGGACCTTGGGCGCAAAATTTTGTCCGAGACGATAAAGGATCAGTCTGATCCTGGCTATTCAACAGTTTAAATGTTATTTTCTTTTCAAATTATATATATATATATATATATATATATATATACGTGTCTCGAAGTCAAGAAGCGTTTCTGTCGGCTTTATCGATCGATGTCCGCGTGTCAATCGATTGATCTCATCGCGAGCTGGCGAGCTGTGTGAAGTTGGCCCCCCCACTATTGAAAATTCAGTAACAACCATTGAAAGCCGAATTTTATAATAGGAGGGGCTAACTTCACGCGCGTATGTCTTTTTTTGAATTATTAATTACAGCTTTGACTACCAATCATCTGGAATAGACTACCAAACACTACCAAACGACCACCAAACGAATTATAATGGTTGTTACTGAATTTTCAATAGTGGGGGGGCCAACTTCACACAGCTTATGTCGCGTCGTGGGAGATCAATCACGCCGCTCGTAGACGTAACGAGATTTCGAGCTTTCGCTTGATCGCACATTTGAGATGATACATGTGCTTAATACGACCTTGGCGTTGACCGAATATAAAGTGCGGTGATAGTACGTTGGTGATTCACATAACATGAGAGATATGCATGGATATCATGCTGAAGCGTGAAAAAAGGTAACTCCGCCGATTACTCGAATCTACCGAACGTGTATATTGCGATACCGTGTTATTGGAACAATAATTCGTAGTAGCGGATATTCTCAATTCTGTTACCGTTGCATTTTTTTTCTGACAATAGTCTGCCGTGACAGACAACGATACAATGTGTAGGCAAGTGGGAATGCATTCGCGTTACAGATGTAAAATCGCTGCGAGATGTTTTAGTGAGGGAGAATAAAAGTTTTTATCCGGACATGTCGATCATCGCGCAAAAAAAAAGAGCATGCGTCACAAAAGTAAAACTAAAAGAAAGAAGATTTCTCGTAATGTCCCTTTTTTTCTTAATTTATAAAAATTCTTATCGACGAAACATAATCCGGACATATATAATCCATTACACCGTGAATATCTTTTATGAGAATCGTATATATCGTATATATGCACGTCATTTTTTAATTCAACTCTCTACATTCGAGCAAAGAGAATAATTCATTTTCCGATTTATTTGTAAAAAAAAATTATCACATCTTTTTCATAACGATTGATGATTCGATTTTACTTAAATTACATGCAATGAATCAGGTGTGTGATGAATCGGAACATCATCGGGAGCAGAACAAGAGAGTATAATCTCGAAACAGATAATTAAAACGCTTAAACATATTTATGTAATATTGATAATAATTGGCCTCTTATTCTCTTTGAAATAAAGACCGTTGTTTTCAATCTCGTTGGTTTTAAGACACGTCATGGCTTAAATATAAATTTGTGCTGCTTCATAATGAATCGACATCTCGTTGCGAAAATCTTTGCCTCGAGATATTTGTCCAAACATAAATCTACATCGGGAATATATAACGTATGTTTCTTTCTTCTCCTTTTCGCCTCGCTATCCCGCGTCACGTCTCGTGTCGCATCGGTGCAACAACGTTTTCGTAACGATTGAATTTCTTTTGATGCGGCGCGCTCATGTGGCGTGCAAATACGTTGCTTTTATGTCACGCGTTGTTACTTGTTACACCGGAAGGAAGTCTGCCCACGCCGCGCTGCGCTTCAATAACATCAACACCGCATACGACTCGTTTCACTCATTCTGCGTACGCGACGAAATTATTTTCCTCGACGGTTTCGCGCAAACAAGTGTAAAGATGGACAAAATTCAAATCCCGAGAACGACGGTCGAAATAAAATTATTACGAGAAAAAAACCTACTGTCTACATTCACAATCAAGTATAAACGACCGGTTTGATATATATATATATATATATAAATTACACATTCGCTGCAACTGTGAGATTTGTGTTGAGATTTCCTTATTTTCTTCTATGTTTTTCATCTCTTGTACGCATAAATTTTGTTGCGAAATAATAACAGTCATTGTCTGTATCAACAATATACGCGGTACATTCATCGATTATAGAAAATCCACATCATTTTAGAGACGTATTTTTCTGCGAAAAGTGCGACAGCCACAAAAGCGGGAATTGAATCTACGCTATCAATGTACGTGATAAATTGTGATCGTGGATCCGTATAAGCACGGAATCTTAGGGGAGTCACAGTACGATTGTAAATTCCTAATCGGAAAGTCCACTTGAAATTGAAAGTTTATTCCCGAGAAATGCGTGAATAACAGTATCGTTATTCATTGTCAATTCCGGATTCTATGGGAATTGACGATACTTGTACGCGAGAGAAAACGGTGATGCCTCTGTCTATGGATCGCATCATAAAGCGTGCGATGAGATCCGCGTGGAAAGAGTCGCATAATACGCATCGTTTAATTTAATCGTGATGATGTAGCCAATAAGAATTTTAAATTACACACAATTCAAGATGGTTTGTGCAAAATTCTTTAGCGTGTTGGCTGATTTATGTAAAAAAGAGCTCTGGTATTTTATATTGACATGTACAATATTATATGCGTAACATCATAAGCTCACGCAACGAAACGCTGTGATCTTGTGCTTCACGATTCGCTTCGGAAATGCACATTTAATAAATCAATTATTTGGAAAATATTCTACAATAAAGTGCTTTTTCATATATTTAGCTTTTAGCGCATAACGAATGAGATGTTGGACGAAGGAATGAGAAAAATAACTGCGACGGCTCGCTCTTCTAATGACTCTCAAAGTTGTCGACCACAATTAGATTAAACATATCCAGCTTCTGATAAGAGAACGTACCTATTACGTTCTTCCTGTCACGTGTCGCGTCGGGCGCATAGACGATAGTGCACACATATGTAGAAAGTAGCAATATAATGTTATTTTAAAAACAACTGTGCGTCGCGGATGCACGTCACAACGTTGTTGATCGGACGATTAGAATACGTCAGCGATATCAGAGAAGCCGCTTGATCTCTCGTTCCGACAGCATCATTCTCATTCCCGTGTGACCACATGCTATCATATTAGTTTGTAATTTCAATTTATACTGCGTAAAAATTAGCTAATTGTCTCAGTAATGTTCGACGAAAGGATCAGAGGAGAATTATCGTCGAAGAGAACTATCGCTTTCTCTATTCTCAATCATATTCTTTAATATATTTGTTAGTAATCGCGCGAATATTATTTGACAAGTAATGGTTAAAAATATTTTATAAAATACTAGATCGAAAGAGACGAAAGTCATAGCTGATAGTTTTACCTTTCCAAGACTCACCGCGAACTCTACTTTAGGGGCTTAAGGGTTAAATTGGATTTGATATATAATCTCGAAACGTGACTCACCCTTCACCTTCGCTGGGTTTCAAAGGTAAACGAGCTCCGAGCTCAATCGCAGATGCTAGAAAGGTCACGTACAGATCCGCAGCACCTTTCCACAATTTTTTCCTACAATCAAAAAAAGTGGAATGCGTTTATCGCGCCGCGCGCCGACGTAATTATCGAATTACCGCACATTACGTATGTCATTATCGAAAAAATCCCCCTGTTTTGTCTCAATCGAGAAAGGAAATGACAAATGACGTGCATTATCGCTATCAAGGACATTGAAACTGAGAGAATTGAATTTTCGCTTAATGCGACAGACCTAAATATATCGAGGAGCTTCTCAGTGCGATTGCGATCAAACATGTCCTCCACGTTGAGGTTGTCGATTTTCAGGTGCACCTCGTACTTTGTTAGATTCTCTCTCTCGAGTACGTTCATATCTAGCACCTTGTGACGGGTTTCGTAGGTGTGCTTGTTCAGTCCCACAATCTCCAGCTGAGATTATCATTGTAGTTACAAACACTTGGTTAATCTGATCTCTGCAAGCTGATAATATAGTATAGTGATTGTTTATCACCTGAAAGTACTTTTGATCTTTAGGCGCTACGCCGTATAGAAAACCGTGATGATCCTTCTTGCTATAGGTGTAATGTATCCATGATGGAAGATCGGGGGCGTTCAGCAAAGAAGGCTGATACGAAAATTGATCGGAGTGTCCTGAAATAAAACGGCACGGATTATAAACGTTCGAGATAATAATAATTTTGCACCGGAAAATGTCACGCTAATTATATATTTACGAGAAATGACGAAAGATAACAAGGAAAGAATAAAATGGAAAAAAGTAAAAGACTTTTAATGTATAAATGTGCGTGTGAGTTATTAATAAAAATTACAAATAGGAAAGACAGCGAGAAATTTTTAATACAAAAATTTGTCAAATAAAAGATATTTAAAAGATACAGTAGGGCGAGAATAAAATTAATAAGATATAAGAACAATTTTTTAAAGTTAATGAATGAATATAACTGAAGGTATATGATAAAATATAAAAAAAAATATATGTTTATGAGTAATGTCTGCTCAAATATCCAAATAGATCGCGATATAAAATCTCTAAAATCTCTCTAACGATAAAATCCTTTCGCTTCTTTTGAAATGATTAATCGATTCAAGTTTAAGAATAAGAAATGGATTTTTTTTCATGCGGATGTGAAAAGTACACAGCCTTGTTTAATGTAGGAAACACAACCTGAAACCGCGTTATCTGAAACCGCGATAATTTTCATGACTGTTTCGTATATCGTTGAAATTGTCCGAAGGCGCTGAATTGGAAAGTATCGCGGTATGCGACAATGTTGCCTCTAAGGTTAACGCAACAATCTAGCGAGTAATTGCTATTCGTAGCATGTTACGAATGACGTATGAAAACTCGAAGTTTATTTCGTAATATGAAATAGATTATCTACGGACATATCTACGTGGAATAATTGTAGCTATTTGGTAATATAATACATATCATTTGTTTTTGGAAAGCTTCGTTCAAACATTTAATACCGAGTCGTAAAAAAAAAAAAAAAAAAAAAAAAAAAAACAAAAAAAAAAAAAAAAAAAAAAAAAACTTATTCTATAAGAATGCTTTCTTTCAAGATCGCATTTTTTTAATGGAAATAATCTTTATTGTATAATATTAATGTATGTGTATATATATGTATATGTATATATATGTATATGCATATGTGTAAACACAAATATCTTTCGCTTCTCTCTGATTAAATGTATCGAGAAAGTAAAATTCAGACGCATAATTGGGATACGGTGTAGCCAAGAATCAAAAAGTTCGGAGACGTGTCTTATAGTATTCATATTTTAAAATATCACAATCAGAATTTTTCTAAAACTGACGCGCGACAACATACGTATACCAAGAAAGATGAAATAAAATAATACAATTTAGTATTTTTTTTCTTTGCGTCTCTTTTATTTTCATTAGCTTTCCTTTTATGGTATCAAGGGTCCTCCGAATATCGAGTGATATCGAGAATACTTTTGACGGCTGAAGAAAGCTAGAATAGGCTGAATATAGGTATGTGTCTTTACCATCTGCACTCCAGTCGAAAGTCTCCGGTCTGATGGGAATGACAAAGACCTCCGTCATTAGAATGCTCTCGGCAGCGACGAAGGCCACCAACGTCGGTAGTAATATTACGTTCGGATGCATGATCGTGCTGGAAAGTGTCAACGAGTGTCAGCGATAATAAAAAGATCGATGACATCGAGATATGATCACGTAGACTGTAGACGACAAAAATCTGTAGCATTTTCGACCAGGGCGATCGAAATTGCTCGAGAGCAAACTTAATTTTCGCGAATTCGTGGATTAAATGCACCAACGAATGACCATTGAATGGAGCTATACTCGCTTCTATAATTCATGTAAAGTAACATTTCAAATTTTGGGAAAAGCTTGAAAGATGTTGGAAAATATTCGGTTAGGAATAAGGAAGTTTATTTTGAACGTTAATATCGTACAGTTATATTCGATAAAAAAAGAAAATAATAAAATTAAAAAGTAATGAAATATAATAAGAATTTTAATTGTTATATATTTATGTTATATTATACGTATTAAAAAAATTATTTACCGATGTTGCCAATTATTCACATTTGACAGGTGTGCGCGATTTGTCTTTAATAATTGTTAATAACATTCAGAAAAAAAATGTATCCCTTAAAAAATTAATCGCTCGAAATTCGGATTAAAATAAAGAAATCGGCTATAAAATCGATGATATCTAGCATTCGTCCTTGTATGCATATCAAACACGTTTCTTCTTGAAACGTGATGTGTCTAAAATTATTTTTATGCGAAAACGCTATCAGCTTTCTTAAAAACGACGCGAGGTGCATACAAGACGCGATTTCTACTTACGATGAAATAGCGTGCGATTTACTTTTTCTCGTTCACATAGCGATTTTCAGTGAAACTCGTACGTGATACTTCTGTCAACGTTGTGATTCATATACGGTCGCATAATGCGAAAATAATGCGCGGCGCATTCTATCCTCTGTTTTTATAATTATTGTGCTCGCAGTCTCATTGTCAGTTCTCATCTCTCATTGTCAGCGGACATGCGGAACCATACGCATGAAAAATATACGCAACTCATTCTCGACTAGAACACACTCCTCTAATATGTATCGATTATTCCCGATAAATTTTTGCAGGGATTCAACATTAGTACTAGTCAGACGCGACAAAACGAAAGCTTTTGTTTTCAACGATGCAACGTGCAGTCCTTCTGTAATAAATCGTAACAATAATCTTTTGCATAATTTTTTTATCATATTTTCATGTCAATATTTTTATATTTAATTAAATATTTTATTATGAAACATTCTAAAATTGAAGAATCCTAGAAAGAGATAAAAAATATATATAGTCTATTCTACAAAATATTTTCTATCGACAAAACAGAAGAATGTAAGCTTGAAAAGTTTTTCAGAAATTTGGAAAGAGTATCGGGATCGTGGATGATTTTTTTGTACAAATTAATGTTTATTTTTCTCATAATAGATTAAATAGATACAGAGATAAATTTTCTTTAAAAAAGACACAAGAGAAAAGAAGTTATGCTATGTAAAATAGGATAAACCTTTATGCTGCTTACATTTAAATAATTTTTAATTTGAAAAAAAACAGATTATTTATACAAAATTATATATACAGAGCAATTTTTTATTGTAACGTAGACTTGCAAATAATTATATATACTTGAAAACTTGAGTTTATGATTTACGTTCCCGATGTGTTCGTGACAACAACATAAAAATATATCAAACCATATTTACGATATATTCTTGACTTACTGCTTTTTCCACTTCTTTTTTCGGACACAATATTAAAACACGTATAAATCTATGAAATGTTTAGGTTCACCGATCGTTGCACATTTTAGTATAAACAAATCGCAAAAGAAAATACAGTATTGTACTGTAAATTCCAAATACAACTTACTTTCTATTCTCTATTGTAACAATTAATGCACAATGTCCCTGAAAATGGCCAATACCCTGGAAAAATTTGGAAATGGACTCGAGGAGAGATATAGTCGCGCTGTACGTATAGCATTTGCCCGGATATTACGATAAACCCGGAAGATGTGTCTAAAGCAGATGCAGCTCAAGTGAGTGTTGCGATATTTCTGGCGTGGCGTGGTATGGCATGGCGTGCCGCCTTAATCTGCCAACGGGTGGTCGCGGAATGCGAGCGACACGGTATCGATTGTTGAAGGCCCGATTTCTCTCTCTCTTTCTCTCGTCGTTTCCAAAATTTACTTTCGACGAATCTTACTTTGAAAAAAAACGCACTCGACTAACGCATCGCGCATGGAAAATCCGTTGATTCTCCGATCTCACATCATCCACCTCGTTGACGTCGTCGTCGATCGGTTTCGCGCGTCCGTCGCGCGTGCGTTGCCGACGTACTGCGTACTACGCGAGACGGCGAAATGTCCGTTTGCCCGCCGTAAGCACGCACACGTGCTGAAACTTACATTCTCGCGAAAGCTGGGAGCTGGGAACCAGGACCGTCTGTCGCGATGTAAATTGCAAACTGCAGACGGCAGACGGCAAACGGCAGACGACAGACGACAGACGACAGACGACAGACGACAGACGACAGACGACAGACGACACCCCCCAGACGACAGACGACAGACGACAGACGACAGACGACAGACGACAGACGACAGACGACAGACGACAGACGACAGACGACAGACGACAGACGACAGACGACAGACGACAGACGACAGACGACAGACGACAGACGACAGACGACAGACGACAGACGACAGACGACAGACGACAGACGACAGACGACAGACGACAGACGACAGACGACAGACGACAGACGACAGACGACAGACGACAGACGACAGACGACAGACGACAGACGACAGACGACAGACGACAGACGACAGACGACAGACGACAGACGACAGACGACAGACGACAGACGACAGACGACAGACGACAGACGACAGACGACAGACGACAGACGACAGACGACAGACGACAGACGACAGACGACAGACGACAGACGACAGACGACAGACGACAGACGACAGACGACAGACGACAGACGACAGACGACAGACGACAGACGACAGACGACAGACGACAGACGACAGACGACAGACGACAGACGACAGACGACAGACGACAGACGACAGACGACAGACGACAGACGACAGACGACAGACGACAGACGACAGACGACAGACGACAGACGACAGACGACAGACGACAGACGACAGACGACAGACGACAGACGACAGACGACAGACGACAGACGACAGACGACAGACGACAGACGACAGACGACAGACGACAGACGACAGACGACAGACGACAGACGACAGACGACAGACGACAGACGACAGACGACAGACGACAGACGACAGACGACAGACGACAGACGACAGACGACAGACGACAGACGACAGACGACAGACGACAGACGACAGACGACAGACGACAGACGACAGACGACAGACGACAGACGACAGACGACAGACGACAGACGACAGACGACAGACGACAGACGACAGACGACAGACGACAGACGACAGACGACAGACGACAGACGACAGAACCCACACACCCCCCCCCCCCCCCCCCGATCGGGTCAATGCGATGCGAGATGCATGGCGAGACAAAATGACAAAAACCACCAACGCGACGGCGACGGTCAGAGCCCGTTTGCGGTGACACAATCGCGTGTAACTTTGAAATTGCGCGGTACAAACAATCGAGGATGATCGGCGACGAAACGGGATATTACGTTGACGACGTCGGGAGAGAAAGATAGGGAAAAAAAGCTCGAGAGGACCGGGCCGGACCGCGCCGGGCCGGGCCGAGCCGAGCCGAGAGCCGAGAGACGGAGCACAAGTTCCTCTGTTCACATGCGCAGCTGTAACATCGCTTCCGACTACACGCGCCATTTTCAGGGCCGTACGCCTGGCAATATTATTTCCCGAATCGTGGTTTCTATGATTCCGGAACAGTCTTCATTAACAACTTTGATATCAATGATATTTGATGTAGAGTGTCCGAAATATTGAATTCAAATTCGATCGATCCTGCGTGTAACGACGCTATTTATTATTTCGGGCAAGAAAGATGACGCGGCGCCAATATAACATAACGTAACAAATATAATTAATTAAATATATATATATATATATATATAAATACTTTTAGTTTCTTCTATTCATCTATTCATTTTAAATTTATAAAAATATTCTATTTACTATGCGATTAAAAAAGACTAGTTGGAGAATAATTTAAATAGACAATTAAATAGATATTTAAACAGTCTTCATGGGGGAGGGAGGATTTTCTTTCATTTATTACGTGTTACATTTAAAAAGAAAAAATAATAGACTCGAATCTCACATATGGTTTCTTACAGTAATGAGATTTTTCTGCTTCTCAAGAACAGTTACTATACAGTTTTCGCTTCTATTTTTGTCGTTATCTCCAAACTATAATGAATCTCTTTACAATCCTGTGTTGTCATAGCTTATTTTTTTCGTATATTAAAAGAATTGCGAGCGATTTATCTTACAATAACATAGCAAGCATATTCTCTCTTTTGTGCACAGATGATATAATGACGTTTGTTGATTCGACCAATCAAGTATCCAACAAACGTAATCGCTTTCATTGACGCAATTATTATTATCGCTTTTCACACATCGTGACGACACATTTTTACTAAAACTTTCGTCCCGCTCATTATCATGACTGATGTTGGACGAGCTTTTACTTACTAGCTGATGGAAAATTCGATGACTGCCAACAGCTAACGAAGAATCCGATTAAACCAAAATTATCAATTATACAGGACTACATTTCGTGACATAAATCCACTGCGTCTTTCCTATATATACATATATAGTATGCAATATTAAAAATTTGGATTGTCTGTATATCGTATGTCGTATAAGATCTCGAACAAACTTTTCTTACAAAAGACCCGCTCATAATTTATGTAAACTACATATTTAGCTCATATAAAGAATATCGATTTGTATTCTTCTGCACGCTATGAAAAATCACTGTGATAAGAAACACTATAAAAAAAGATCACGCATTCTTTTGTATTCTCGTAATGAATAGAAAAAAAATGAAACGGACATTTAAACGATAGCAAGAAAAGGGATGAGTTGATTTTGAAAAATTAATTTTACCTTAAATGCATTTAAAGTTTCAATATTTCGTTTTACAGAAATGTAGAAAAAAATATTGCTGGAATCTTTTTAGAAAGATCCTTTATCGAGTTATCGCTTCGATTCCAATATCATTCGCAGATGTCATACGCAGCGTGACACATTAAATGCGCTATTGCACAAACGCGAATAATTTAATAAATTTCCTGAATTCTAATCGGTATGAAAGGGTATGACACGGTATGACATAGTTTTCCGAAAAGAATCTAGAGGATCGACGAGCATATAATCTACTACTATGGCGTCACAAATTCGAAATTCACCTGTGAATAGCCGCGAAATTCCGAAGTGCTTTCCGAATTGTCATCGGCGATTTTCCTGGAGCGAGAAACAAAGCGCGCGCTGTGGGCCATGGCACGTCACGATAACGTCCAGCTTCATTCGCGCGTAAAAAGTCCCGGCCTCTGTCATCTCTAGCCATGCCGGAGCCGGAGCCGGAATTCGATGAACGGTATAGCGATACCGAAGATCGAAGAGTATCGATTCTGTGTCGATTGGCATTGATATTTGGTAACCGCGGACCACGGTTGCGAGATGAGACATGAATGTTTTACGACGAGTATCGATAAACGATACGCTGTCATTGGAGCGTGCAATTTTTTTCGCTCGTTTTCTGAGTCACGCACAGATGACTTCGGCCTTTTTCTAAAATGAGCCATCCGATTAATTTGCGATGAACTTTTCTCGTTTATAATCGTTAAATTATATATCTCTCACGTCCTCATTTGAATCTTCCATATATGTATACTCTATTTTTGTAACATTTATTCGTTCGGATGACAATCACATCTATATTATCTAAAGTAAATTACCAGAATTATTCAGATAATATGAATCATTTCTTGGATTCTCTTACTCTTGTAAATTTTAAATTTATCATTTCAATTGAATTTTAACAACTCTTATCGACACTATAAATAAGGGATAAATATTTATTACATACGAATATGTACATACCTTTCTGTTCGTTATGATGATCCGTTAATGATGATCCGCAAAGATTGTTTATTTTTTCTAATTATTATTGTTGGCGCATTTTTATCAAATCCAATTATTTCGAGCTTTTTTCACTTAAAATAAAATTATCGACAAGAGATTCTCTCGATCGATCGCGTTATGTACATCTGTCGTGCATAGATGGACCGACGCGAGAGCGAGAGCGAGAGCGAGAGGACCATTTCGCCGTGGCGCCCCGCACGTGCCGCACGTGTTTATCAGCAGCGCTAGACACGGCACTGCCTATTGACGTCTGTGGTAGGCGTGTCTTATGTCTTGGTCGCGACGCCGTCGCGGCCGATAGAGGGATATATTTACCGCGCGCACACGACTTTTTCTCTCTCTCGTTCGCCAACGCGACGCGACGCAACGTAACGTAACGTAACGTAACGTAACGCAACGCAACACAACGCAAGTAACGCAACGCAATTCAACGCAACGCAACGCAACGCAACGCAACGCAACGCAACGCAACGCGGCGACGCAAGAGGGTACATCTGTCGTGCATAGATGGACCGACGCGAGAGCGAGAGCGAGAGCGAGAGGACCATTTCGCCGTGGCGCCCCGCACGTGCCGCACGTGTTTATCAGCAGCGCTAGACACGGCACTGCCTATTGACGTCTGTGGTAGGCGTGTCTTATGTCTTGGTCGCGACGCCGTCGCGGCCGATAGAGGGATATATTTACCGCGCGCACACGACTTTTTCTCTCTCTCGTTCGCCAACGCGACGCGACGCAACGTAACGTAACGTAACGTAACGTAACGCAACGCAACACAACGCAAGTAACGCAACGCAATTCAACGCAACGCAACGCAACGCAACGCAACGCAACGCAACGCGGCGACGCAAGAGGAACCGGCTTCCTTCCTCTCTCTCTCTCTCTCTCCCCCCCCGCATTCCCTTCCTCTCCTTCGCGATTGACAATGTGTACATACATACTTGCAGAACGCGGCAGCGTTGAGGTCGGCTGCGACGAGCGGTGCATCGCACGGTGCGCGAGTACGGCTTCTTCCCGGCGCGGTGGTTGACTCGTTCTATATCTCATCGTTCATCTTTAATTGTCGTCCCCGACGACATCGTAGATTGTGTCCATTTAACGGCGCTGCCTTACCGTCAACGCTGCGCTTTCCCTGAAAGGCACGAGGTACGAGAACGGCTCCAATCGGTGAGAGGGAGGTGGTGAGTGGTGAGAAAAAAGGACGGATCGACGGAATAGACCGCGAGGCAGAAGGAGAGAAACGTATAACGGGAGAGAGCGAGATAAGTGCGCAGAGACGGTAGTGCCGATCAACAGCGATAGGCCAGTTAGTGTAGTGCGGGCGACAGTAGTGTGCGAGTACGTGCGAACGAGCGACGTGCGCGGCCGCCGTCGATCGTCGCGCGGCCGCGGGCCGCGAGTGCTGCCGCTGCCAGTGCTGATCCGTCGCTTCGTCGTCGCCGTCGCCGTCGCCCTCGTCGTCGCCCTCGTCGTCAGCTGTAGAGATAGTGCAGTGCAGTTGTGGTGGTGGTGGTTTCGAGTACACACCGGAGCGTATCTAGTCGTCATCGTCGTCAACCATCGCGCCGGTGCTGATAATTGGCGCTCCGCGAGGAGATTGGAATCTCGGTCCCAGAGACAACAGCCCACCTCCCGGCCGCGAGAATGGCGGGCAGCGGCGTCCCGGTCCTCCTCATTACCGCGAACGTCGGCAGCATCTTCGAGGAGGTACGTTACGTACGTGACATTAATAGCGAGGCGAGGCGAGGCGAGGCGCGGCCGATCGATCGATTTTCGCGTTCCATCGATTTCGTGTCGATTATTCGCCCCGTGCCCCGTACGACGCACGACCTACTTGCCCGCCGCCGCCGCCGCCGCCGCCGCCGTTCTCCTCGCCTCACTTGTGGGAGCGGGACGTCGAGTTTGTCGCGAATCGTTGGTATATCCGTGTACACATACGGTGCCGTCGTTTAGCACACGTGCCAAGCAATCGGTTCTCTCGGTCGTGCTTCTGTTAGTTCGCCCTCGCGCTCGAGAAAAAAAAAAAAAAACAAGTTGGTCCGCGCGACGATATTTTTAAGTCCGGTTAGAAAATTTTTTTGTTCCTTCCCTCCTCTTTTTCCCTCTTACACGTGTCCAACCGTACATTTGTTTCATTTTGAGATATTAATGTCTAATCTCTATTATAGCGTTCGACGTAATGTGTGACTTTATTAGGCAACTCTTGTGAACTCTGTCATTTTCGTTTGGAAAAATTTTGCGTGTGGAAACTTGGGAATATACAAACCTGACGAGAGTTTTCAAGAGTTGGAGACTCCAAGGTTCGGTGTCACTTTGATCATATTTTTAATTGTGCAAAACATTGCGATATATATTAGCGACATCTTGTCGCACTAATCATTGAAAATGTTACATTTGTTTCTTTCTCAATGCGGATAATTTTAAAAAAACCTAATGAGAAGAAATTTATACTTTGGAGCAGTTTTCAGACTTTCGATACTTTTTGTTATTTATTATTATTGCCACATGTTTGAAACGCGTGATGACGAATATTCACGATAATTCCTCATTTGACATTAACGATCGGATAATGTAATACCGCAGGATGAATCATTAACGGAATTATGTAATTTGAAAAAGTATGCGAAAAATATGTTTACAAGTTCGATTCTGAAATAAAACGTCATTCTTCGTCTTTCTCAAGCAGCATCTATTTTAGCACCGTCTGACGATGAATGTGAAACGCAAAAAAAAAGTCGATTATCAAGTTGAGAAATTAACTCGTTCAGACTTTCTAGATTTATCTTACGTATACCTAGGATTTCTCGTGCTGAAAAGAAAACTCGCGTAAATTCTAATTTCAACGATCAATTGTAAACACGTACGATTAATGAAAAATATTTCGATAAAAAGGAGGACATATGTATATAAATGTACTATATAAAATAATAAAGAGTATCTTTCTGCGGCGTATTTTTCTTTTCGTATCATCGCGCACGAAAGAATCAAGAAACACACTGCGCGTATAACAATAAGTAAAACGTTTATTGATATTTCCATTCTGGTGGACTAATTTTCTCGCACGATCGGAGGAACGTATGTATGTAATTTTTATCGGGACGCCTACGAACATACTATGCTTGTTTATACCGGAATCGCGCGCGACTATTATCGTATCATACCGCGATCGATTATCGTATCATCATTTGTGAAATATGAAGGAAAGAAACTCTAGCGCTTTATCGTTTATCGTCGCAAAGGACGCGGAGAGCGGAGAGCAGAGAGATGAGCACGGATATCGATATCCTTGCGTGTGTGACGTTAACGATCTATTAATACATTCACGCGCGGTCGAACATCTCATTAAGCTTTTCTTTAAAGTGCACTAGGTATGAAGGTTTTCTGAGATTGATATCACTGATTTTCTCCTTGCAGCCTAGTGTCATGCTAAAGATATGGACGGAAGAATTTTTATCCGTAAGTATCCTTGTGCGACGAGACTTACACTATACGTCAACACGCGCGCGTCAATAGGCGCGCGCCTGCGAGACTTTGCTTTTGTGCCTTATGTGCAAATTGTTTTTTTCAGACCATATCGAAACTAGATCCGAAATTTATAGCACTGCACTGCCAAGAAGTAGGTGGAAAAAATTACGAACAGAGTATGAGGCATGTCGAAGACTTTGTTAGGTAAATCTCTTGCATATTTTGTCACATCTGTAATCGTAATCATTTTTCTACGTGATACACCTTTATCGCAATAAACGTATACTTGTCGTTTTATTGTCATTTTCGATAGAGAGAGAGAGAGAGAGAGAGAGAGGGGCGGGGGGGGAGAGTTACAACAAATTTTAAATATTATTACAAATATTATTAAAATGCAAATGACAATATGAACTTCGTTCCTAGATTTCATTTACGCATCGTGCTATTAGTAATGCTTCTTGGAAGGTTTCCAGAAACTACAATATTTGACTTTAATTCGATTATTAGGATAAGAGCCTATACATTTGTCTGTTAAACTTGTTTGTAGAAATCTTTCTATAGTTACTTATAACATTTTCATTTTTGATTCTTATCACTTTGTCGATATTATAAACAAATCTTTTGTAAACCATAGTAAAAAAGCAAATAGCTCTCTCTTTTCACACGCGCGATATTGAATATGATTTAACGCATAACTAGCAAAAAGGCGCAAAAATAGACGCATCATGCGTGGCTCTATAGCTGAGTGAGCCGCTTCAAAAGATGATTGTATATGATATTGATAGGGGAGAAATTCATATATACGTATAAAAAAAAGTTGTTTAAAAATATATAAAAGAATTTTACGTTTATACATATATAAAGCTTATGAATTTAGTTATTTAAATATGACTTCTCATGTCAAATAAATATTATTTGTAGATTACTAATGTCATCGGAAGAATTAAGATTGTTTGACAAAATTAGGGTATTCCTTGACGAGGATTATTCATCCGCTGAACATTTCACAGTGAGTGGAAGAATATTTACTATTAATACTTAATTAATTGATTCTGTCAAGCAAAGAACAATATTCTCATCGAGATTATTTTATATAGGCTCTAGGAAATTTCTATTTCGTACACGAGTCCTTGAGCGATGTTTTATTATGGGATTTTAACGGTATGTTGCGTATAATTTTATTTACGATATCTATCAATGGAAATAAATAGGTAATATTATCTTTTTTATTCATATGAATGCGATTTTAGAATGTACTTTTATACCGGTAAATGGGAAAGAAGTTCATTCTGGCAACATAGAAGCAGTTACAACCAAAGAAAAAGCCAAGTTCCCTCAAGAATTTTTCCCAGAATGCAAATGGTCCAGGAAGGGTTTCCTGCGGACTCGATGGAGTATTAGTGGAACAGTTTTTGATCTCATAAACATACATTTATTTCACGACGCGAGCAATTTTATTGCTATGGAGACGGTAAAGAATATTTTGACGAATATGATCCTCTCTATGGCTTTCCTCTTTATATATTATATTATGGCTGTGTGTGTGTGTGTGTGTGTGTGTGTGTGTGTGTGTGTGTGTGTGTGTGTGTGTGTATGTTTGATATATGATTTATTTTCTTATTTTCTTACAGTTCCCATCGGTATACAGTAAAACGCGTAGAAGAGCGCTCGAGCACACATTAGATAGATTTCATAACGACAAGTATCCAAATGTGCCGTATTTTTTATTTGGTGACTTTAATTTTAGGACAGACACGGCAAGCGTGATAAAGGTGAGACTCATTAGCAATTACGATAACATTGAAAGAAAAAGCAAGGAAGAAATTAAACACGCATTTGCATTTGCTCTATATAAACTTATTTGTGCCATCTCTCATAATATTTCACAATTAAATTAGCGTATTATTTTTTAAAAGCGATATATTTAGCGGTGTGCAATCATATCATATTTTGCTCTTTGTGTATTACATACGTGTATTATACACGCCAATAAAGCAATCCTATTAAAATCCAATACGTTACAGCACTCTTTAATTTGTCTTTAATAGAAATTGACAGAAGATACTCAAGAAAAGAGGTTATCAAATAAAGGAAATATTTCTAAATTGCAATTTCACAATAGAGACGATGATCTCATATTAACGTTAGGGAAAAAGGAATTTTCACATTACGAACATCAAAACGTTTTCATGAAGAATGGTGGTGAATGGGTAAATGTTACATATTTATGCTTTATATTATATTTAATCGAGTTAGGGAGAGACAATATCAATAATGCAACTATTAATATTTGTTTGTAGTTACGCGAGTATGACAAAGAATTGGGAGATTTTGAAGGACGGTTGTTCGAGTTTTCAATCAATTTTGTGCCCAGTTATCCGTTTCAAGAAGATGTAAACGAGCCTGTAAATTACATGCAAACGAGAGTGCCGGCTTGGTGCGATCGGGTCTTGTTGAGCCCCACTGCGAAAACATTAGTCCAAGATGTACGTATTTCTATGAAATTTATATTCGTGTTCACGCGCGACACGAAACTGTTATAGAAGTTGAAATCTATTGCCTAATGTGACGCTCGTATCTCTGTGTATGCAGATAAATGATTCAGAGACAGTGGAGTACGGTATAATCGGTTCAACTACATGCATGGGTGATCACAAGGTAAGACAAAGGTGTTTAAAAAAAAAAAAAAAAAAAAATTGGTACATTTTTCTTACATTTATAAAACAATACTGCGACATTTTTTACTTATTATATGCTGGGAACATGTATTTACACACTTCCTAGTTCTTATTCTGATGAACCATTCTTTCGATTATTATGGTGCAGCCTGTTTTTCTGGAGTTTCGAATGAATCTCTAAGCACTAAGGTACCTATCTATGAACTGTCTGTCTGTTCTTCTTATCTCTCGAATCCCTACATCTCTTTCACGTCTCTGTATTCTGTTAGTATACCGTTATCTCGACAATAAACATATAGGGGCTTGTTTAATGTAGCACTTCCACATGTAGTGTAGCCTAAAGTATTTTACTTCTACATTTTATACTTTGAATCTCACAATTCTTATCAGCTATCACTATCGTTATCATGGAATAATTGTACTTTTTCAATCTAATTGCCGATACGCATTGTAACGCTTGGTACGCATTTTTTCATCTTTTATAACGCTGAATGATATTTCATTACATTATACATTATATAAATATAAACATGTAAATATTTCGAGATTACATAACAATAACACTTGTTACTGCAGGATATTATAATGAAAAGTGATAATCAATCGAGCGTTAATGATACTATCAATTACAAAAATTAATATTGGAAATACATGATTTCATAAAAAATATATTTATTATATGCATGAAGTATAGTTTGCAGATAATTAATTATTATTACAACTTATTTAATTGGACTATTAATTATAATAAATATTTCGACATAATTTTTCGGAGTAGAGCAAGGATTCTTGTCATAATTAAATCCATATTATTACTACAATGCTTCAAAATATTGCAGTTTTAAAGTTTCACGGATACGTTCCATAATTATCATGTCGACGAAGTTTGCAGATTGAAAAGTACATTATTGTGGCACATCATTATTTCTTTGAAACGTTTGTTTAAGACCTCTCCCCCCCCCC